CCTTGAATGCCTTCAGGGCACTTTTGCATGGCTGGAGTGTTGTGGGGATCGAACTACAGCAAACTGAGGCTGCCAGCATTGCGGAAGCAGCCACTTAAAGAACTGAGCTAGGGCTGGGCCCCCCCTACTACTTTTTTTCTTCTCCTTTTTCTTTCCCTCCTCAGCTCCCCTTTCCTAAGGAGCAAAACTTTAAAATTTCTGTAAGGTTTACTGATCGCAATAAAATTACTTGCAATTTTCAGGCCAAAAAGTCAGGTGATAAAGGTATATATAAAAACTAAGCAGAAAAACAACTGAAGAGATATACACCAGACAGCTAACATTGGTTTTATATATAAAAGGTAGTAGATTATGAATATAGTACATTCTTTTTATTTGGGTATGACTTAAATTTTTTTCAATTAACAACTTTTTATTACAAGAAAAGGAATAAAAGCAAAAAAGATGATACAGTTGTTACATTAAGTTATTTTTTTTTAATTTTTTTAAGACAAAGTCTAACTATGTAGTTCAGGCTAGCTATATATCCCAATCTGGCCTTGAAATCACAGGGATCTTCCTGTCTCAGCCTCCTGAATGCTGGGATTACAGATTTGTACCACTATGCCTGGCAATTTTTTTGTGTTTTAGTCTTGTTAGGTTTGTAAGCTTTGCAGGGACATCTATATTTTAAACTGAATAGGGTTTTAGTTTTCAGAGAGTTCTCAGTGTCCTACCTCTCAGTAGTAAGGTAAATCAGTATAGTAGGCAGTTAGCATAGTAATAATATAGCAGGCTGAACAATTACCCACTGACTATATCTACATTTGAGAGTATCATCTTAGGTCAGTGATGGTAAACCTTTTAGAGCTTTCAAGGATAACAAACAGCGCACTGCAGCACATATACCATAGGTATGCCCTGCTGCTTAGATGGTTAAAAAATGTTGAATAATACATTAGAAGGGAAAAGATGACACTGTTAAGGATTTGAGATAACAAAGAGATATGAAGATTGAAGCCATGACTAGAGCAGTATGAAGCTAGAAGAGACAACAGGTTCCACTCTAGGGCCCCAGTAATGAGTGAGGCCCTGCTCGAATTTGGACTTTTGGCCTCTAAAACCATGAGAAAATATGTTTCTGTTGTTTCAAGTCACCACATTTATGGTTATTAAGTCACGTTTGTCCTAGGAAACAAGTACAGTATAACAGTACAATCATTTTACCGAAATAGCAGCTATTACCATTGTTCCAATGGCAAATCTCAGCTGTTACTCTGCCACTCAGTGCTACAGCTGTTAGGTAGCTGAGAAAGGATTCAAATCCAGATCTTTTACCTCTAGATGCAGAGCAGTATTTGTTCAATTGCTATTTTCATTCAAATGAGTAACTAACTGAATCAGCCCAATGAAATAAACCTGGCAAAATTTTTGTGGATACTGTAAACAATAAACATTTATTTCAATGCTATTGCCCTGAAGTATGTGCTGTAAAGCATTTTTTAAAACTGAGAAAATATGGTGTCATATGATACACTCAAAATTTAGATGATATAGTTCTATTTCCAATTTTTATTTATTCATACTGATTTACTTTTGATCTTATGAATTTCTTTAATGTCCTGATTTGATAAACTTTGCCAAATTTTCTTTTTTCTATCCTTACGATCCTAAAGTCAGAGTCAGATATGCAACCACTGAAAAGATAACATATTCTTTACCTGGAATAAATGAGTATTTTGCACGAAATCCCAGACCTTCGAGTTCTTCATCAGAGCTAAACTTAATCCACATGAATCTCCCTGTTGACCTAATTAATGGAGGGCTTTTCATGCCACAATAGCGATCTATAAGAGGAGAAAAACCAAATGGCCCATCTCGAATTTCCAAGTGATCAAACCGACATTCAAATGATGGTTCTATATAATAATGTTCATCAAAGGTCAACTCTATTCTCTGACGTGGAGCAGCTATAAAACAAGAGGAAGAAAATCAGGACAGTAAGAACAAATATGCCAATATATTGACACAAATGATTAAATCAAAATTATTGCTTTGTTAATGCTTCATAGGTGAGGATTGTAATGGAACTTATTCATTATAAATGTCACATTTTATATTAATAATAATGCTACACTGTAGAAGTAGGATAACCTTCCTTTGGCGTAAACTTCATTAGATGTACTTGATTAAAACTGAAGTGTTGAAAAGCTAATGCTTACTGAACTGATGAGATATAACGTACCATGATATACAGAAAGATAAATAGAACAAGCAAAAGGAGCTTACCAAAGCATATAGAAATTTGCAATAAAACCTAGTAAAGATGCCATTAAGTTTAAGTCTTCATCAAAAAATTTTCATATATACTGATGCACTTAACTGAATTTTATTTTAGGAGATTCAAACTTTCATTAAGTTCCAACTGTCATTTTGCTAATGTAGTTAATATTTATAAATGCTTGTCATTACTAGAATGTAAATTCAAATATATATTTAAATTATTTTCAAATTGCTTTAACCAGATTTTACAAATGTAGTTAGTTTTACAATGATGTTAAAATTCATCCAAAAAAAGAAAGTGGTCAAATACCTTCCAAAATGTAGATACACTCCTTGTTTGGTGGATATGAATCAGGATAATTTGGTGAAGCAAAATGACCTCCATTGCTGGTTCGAACCCAAATGCCACACTGAGTTGCAGGAATGTGCTTGATTCCAATATTTTGTCCATCTGGGGGTGGGGGAAAGCACTGAAAACATAACTGCTTCAAGAGAACAACATTTTTCTCTTTCCCCCACAACTTTTCTAACAATTGCCCATTCTGTTAAACACACAAACACAAAGCTTGTAAGAATCAATGTCTACACTGGCACAACAAATTGAGTACATCAGAAGTAAAAACAAAATAAATCAACAACAACAAATTTGTAAAATGCACTTGTTGTAAAAACTTGCTGCTAGATGACAAGCTGGCCATAAAAGGGAACTGGGAAACAAAATGTTTATATTTTACAAGGGCAAAAATGTGTGAGAATCCAATAAATCAGTAAAATCTAACAAAGTTCTACTCTGACATAAAAAGAAAAAGTTGGCACAAGCCTGTAATCCCAGCACTAGGGGGCTGAGGCAGGAGGATTGCTCCAAGTTTGAAACCAGCCTGGGCTATAAATTGAGTTCAAGATGAGCTTGAACTACATAGTGAAATCCTGTCTCAAAAAGCACCACCCACAAAAAAAGAGGATCTATGGAGTTATTATGGTATCTTTACATTTAGTTTAACAGAAAAGTCAAATAAGATTAAAGATTATAGAGGGCGTTTTAACCATTATAGTTGAATATACACTTAGCTCTGCCCTTTTATCAATTCTACTTAAACAAGAGTGGATTTTTAAAAAAAGATATCAACCCATAAATACAAAGAGGTAGATCTAATAATATCTAGCTCTACTAGAAATATCATAAAGGGTTATATGTAAAACTAGCCTTTTAAAAGACATGAGTCTGAAAAAAAACATGAATCTGCTTAAAAGCCTATTTATAGTCAATTTGGTTTCATATACCTTTCTCTTCTCCACCAATTCTAGGCAGCTACTGCTCTATCACCACATCAGAAAACTGGAGTTTATTTCTTTGGAGAAAGCAAATCTGGGTTTACTGAACTAGGGGACAGCACATGCAGTGCGAGTGTGGAAATACCAACCAGAAAACAGGAGATCACTGAATGATATGCTCTAGCTTCTCCCACTGAAACTGCCAAAGTCCTCTTGGTGAGCAAGTCTCTAAATGGAAATGGAAAGGTGCTTTTCTAGGGTGTCTTCACCCTAAAAAAGGCTCAACCAAGGCACAAGGGAGATCCAGCATCAGGCCATTCGACAGTGGGGCCACAGTAAATAGTTCTTATCTAAACCTGCAGACAACTAACTAGTAGCTTTTCAGTGTCTCTCTTAAGACAGGAACAGACATTTAAGAAAGCTTGTAGTATGAAAAATGCATCCAAACAAACACACAAAGCAACTCTAAGGAAACAAAGACTATGTACAAACACCAGTTAAACATAAAAGAGTAACTGTGCATTCTAGTTTTTTTTTTTATCTTTTATGTATTTGGTACAGTGTCTCGCTATGCAGCTTGGACTTGTAATGATCCTCATGTCTCATCCTCCCCAGCACTAGGATCACAGGTGTGCACCACTATGCCCAGTTCTGGTGGCCAGCAAGGTGCAGGGTCTGCATAGTATGTGGTACTGGGGATCAAAACAGGTCCTTGTGCTTGCCAGGTAGGTGCTTAGAGTGCCAAGCTATCTCCCCGACCAAATAGTACATTCTAGATCTTTCATTTAATCTCAGGGAAAAAAATGACACATATAAAATAAGGACATTCTTTTAAGAAGGCATATTCAGAAAATAATAATCTTCTACAGAGTATACATTAAAGAATTAAAGGTTAGAGCAGAGTCGGGTCCTAGGCCAATCTGACTTGCTGCATAGGGTTGCACAGAAAGTTTTACTGGAATGTTCCCATGACTGTTATTTGCACACTGTCTATGGCTACTTTCACACCACAGCAGATGAGCTGCGATGTTCGAGAGAGAATGTGACCTGCAGTGATGTAAATAAACACTTATTATTTGATCCTTTACAGGGAAACTTTCCTAAATCTCATTTAGAGGATAAACTTGAGAAAGCCTCCTAGAACATGAAACAAAATGAGATGTAGAAAATAGAAAAGACAAAAACAAGGCCATAACCAAATAGTAAGAATCTCTGAAAATGCAGAGCAAAGAAAATTGAGAGCGAATTTAAAAAATTCAAACAAAAAATTCCCTAAATTTAAAAACAAAATTCATACAAAGACTGATGTGTGGCTTTCTAGTAACTTAACTAGAACTATGGATGTAACTATATTGAGAAGGGTAGTGTAAACACAAAGAGAACATGTGCATGTGAATGGGGGTGAACAGTAGGTGTGTGAAAGAGCTAAGTTCTCATTTTCCATGGTTAAGACATCAGAATCTAATATCTAAAACTGAGAGTCAAGAAATAGCAGTATAGTATGTTATTCAAAGATATGAAAGGCAGTATCAAAAGAATCAACAAAAAGACAGGATATCATTTTTTCATGATTATTTACTATGTATTATATATAACTTTGGTGAAAATAATATAATAAATTCTAATATGAAAATTTGGCTCAAAAACCACATTTGTTAATCTTTGTTCATAAATCAGGACAATTAGAATAAGACCAAAGGGCTTTGAATAACATACCAATAGAAATGGTTTGTTTATATTGGAAAAAGGGACTTAATATTTTTTGTGATAGAGCATGAATCTCATTTAATTTTTGGACATAATTTACAGCGTTATTAGGATATAACAATAATGCCACTATTTTAGAAATTATAGGTCAAGATTTATATTGATCATTTACTCTAGGTAACTGCAGCTAAACCCATTAAATTAAGGCTGACAGGTTGATATAAAAGCCTTTTGTCACCAAATATCCCAGAGAGACTGTGGATATAGTATTAAAAAGTTGCAATCCTCTCAAATAGGCTATCCAACTGCCCTGAACATGTAGGAAGTTAATGCAGTATATACTTTACCTTGGGTCTTCTGGGCCACAGCAATCCCTTCCACTACAAGTATCGTTATTAACAACACTAGAAAAACAAAAACAAAAACAGTTAAGCAATAATCTATACATCTTAGTCCTAAAGGAAAATTAGATCATAATGAAAGATCAGTTAAAATTACTATTTCTTACTAACCTTCTTGAGACTTTTAAGTTAAATGTTACACTGACATTACTTGACCCCAAAGACAACCTAAGATAAGACTTAACTGATTCTGTACTCATGTATAAAATACTAGTGTATTGCATTTAAAATGTTTTTCAACCTGATATACTTTTTCAAAAATACAGTTTTCTCTTTTGCAAACACAAACATTCCTCTACTTACTATACTCCATCTCAGAAAGTACACCTGTGGCAAGCATGGAAATGTGCTATGTCACAGTTCAGAGACTGCCCAGAGTTCTACTTGTTAGGACATTCAGGCAGAAGGAGATGTGATCTAGAAGTCAAGTGAAACTTTTTAGTGCTGAACTGCCATGCTATGTGTGTTACAAAAGCTACCTATACCTGTACAGTGAAGTTTTTTTCACCCTTGATGAACAGGCATAAACATACTGATTGTTTTATATTTATTCTAAAGAGCTAAACTGTTTTTTTAAAAAAACTTTTATGACAAGTACACTCTTCATTCCAATGAAAACTATACTACAGCCTGCCATAAACTACTGTGAGAACTATAGTTATATTCATGCAGTTGGTAAGCACTTCTAGAGTATCTACTAAAGATCAGGCACTGAGGATACTCATGAAGAGAGAGAGAGAGAGAGAGAGAGAGAGAGAGAGAGAGAGAGAGAGAGAGAGA